AACACTGCCCCGTACTATCCCAATAGCAATCCAGCAGCAATATTCCAGGAGTGGATGTTTTGTCCCCTGAGGTTGAGTGAAGCTCTCTGATGCATCTTGTGGAAGATGCTTTTGAAGGTATAAGAATGAAAACAATTTCTTGTTTCTTTTGTACCTTGAAAGCACCTGGATCAGGTATGGAAGAGCATGGAGCTCTCCCCAGCTAACAATTAGAGGTGCTTTCTGGGTGGTTTGTGCTAACACGAGGTAGCCCAGGATTTCAGAGGGCTTTTGGGGCACTTGGACCAAATTTAAAATTAATCTAGATATTACTAATTTTTGTTTTATTTGGAAAACTTCTGCAGACCGTAGATTCTGCGTGTTTCTAATCTGCATCTGGTATTTGCTTAGAATCTTTGGGTCTGCTGGAATCCGGAGCCAGAAAGGTTCATGCAAAGTGTTGTGACCCAAAACTGTTTAATCTCAGATCTGCGGTCCCGGAGCCGCAGCCTGACTCCAATACCTGATGAGTATCAGCTGAGCAAGCATCGCAGCATCTGACTTCTGCCCATGAACCAGAAACCTTTTCCTCAGGGAACAAGAGAGTAAATTGGCCTTTGTGCAGGAGCAGCCAGCTAGGCCGGGGCCGTGGTTTCCTCATGCTCGATACCCGACCCCACGGTGCTCTGCTGCAAACTTCTTCCTTCTAAGTGAAGCCATATGAAAAAAAAAAATTTCAAAATCCATTCTTTGAGAGTGGCTGAACCAACCAATTTGTTCAACCATTCTTCTAGCTGATTCATTTTTAACTGAAAAAAATGCTGATCTATTGAAAACAACTTGAAAAATGCCAAAAGGGAAGAAGGGGAAACAAGTTAAACCATTTGAAGCTCATAAAAGAAAAAAAATAAAAATTTAAGTGCAACCACATGAGTGGTGTAAAATTGGTGTAATACTTAAACCCACACTAGAGCACAATGTGTTAGATATGAGTTCCTCTAGAAAATAAGGCCCTAAAATAACCTAATATTTATGACTGAGATTTCACAACCTGATCAGCTCACTGTGTCATGCTTGCAAGGGAAAAAAACCTCTGGTTTAAAGATCCACTAAGATAGGTCTTAATTTCACTTGGCCAAGGTTTTCACTTGAATGCTGCTCCCAACTACTTCTTTGGATCAATGTAACAAAAAAAAAAAAAAAAAAAAAAGTTCCTGAGAACCTCAACAGCACGTGGCTTGAAGGAAGAGAAGGACCCAGATTTATGGAACACATCTGTGTTTGTGTTCTCAGTGCAAAAGGTAGAAGTGTAAGAGAAGGGCACAAGTTGGTGTCTCAAGTTCTTTAGTTCTTGGCTAAAGTGTGCTTCACTGGCATAACATTTAACAAAGTACTGGTATTCAGCAGGATTTTGCTGGACTCCCTTTCTTGCTAACATTTTAAACTCACTTTATCCTTGACAAAACATTGATTTCACCTGATGCCCAACAGTAATTTGCCCAGGCAGGAATTTATCCATCCAGCTGAAGGGATGAGAGGCAGCAATAAAGCCTCCCAGCCATGGGAACATGGGTCAAGGACTATTTGGTTTAATTACAAGGGATAGAAAGACATTAAACACACATAGTGCCTGTTCTCCTGGTGTTGATGGATTATGGTGTTCATTGAGCAGTACAATTTACAATGGGTAAATTAGTTCAAACAAAGGTTATTTACTGTACCTTGGACAAATACGTGGCTTTGGCTTTTGACAATATTTGATGTGAATAATAAAGTGATGTTGATTTTTAATATTTAATTTACTTGCCCACAGTAGATGACATAAGTGGCTGCTACCCAGCAATTGTGAGTGTTTACTGTGAACTTTTTACCTTGTTTCTGAGGAGCTATTCTTTAGATACATCCATCATCTCTTCCTCATAATATTTTCAAATAGCAATGTATTTCATTCTCTTTCTTTGTCTTTGGGTTACTAAATCTATCATCTTACTGGGAAACTTATGATATTGTCAAAAATTGCATATTATGCCCTGGATTGAGGCTGTTTAGTTTGAATGTGACAAGTTGTTTAAAAATAGACTGTTATGCTTTGTATTCACTCTCCACTCCAAAACTCTCTTTCATAACAATGTAAATAAAGGACTCCCAGAACTGATACAGTGGGGCTGGCACAGTTAGAAGAAAAGACTCGGCTATTGCCCAATTTACTTTAATGCAACATAAATCTTAATTATATTGAATAACTATCAGACTGTGAGGTCTTGGGAGATGGAGTCATTACGTAACAGTTTATCTTCAAGCAAATTCCCAGGCCTCCTTAATTTCTTTTGTAGCTTCTTAAAGGGGTTGAAAACAAGAGGTGTAACATGGATTCACTTTATGCTTGGTTCATTAAGCAGTATCTAAATCTGAGCCCCCAGAATAAGTTTGAAATTGCTAAAATGAAAATTTCCAACTGTGCTGAGTGTAGATGTTATCACATCTGCAGAGTTTGGGGTTGCAGGGGCATTAATGACTCCTGGGCTGCTCCTCTGTGCTGCCCTCTCCCGTGGGAGCTGGGAGTTCTGTCCTGCTCACCCCCATCTGCACCACAGAATTGATTCTTGCATCTCTTGCCCAAAGTAAGTACTGGGTTTGGTATTTTTCCTTTTAATTCCCACCAAACTTTTTTCCCCTCAGAAACATTTTCTAACCCAGGTACTGAATGGCAGCAGGATTCTAAATGTGATTTCCAAAATCCTACCTTTTTTAACCAAATGGCTTTCAGATAAAAACAGCAAGTGAAACAGATGAGAATGGATTTTTAATTTTTTCCTCTCTCAATTTTTGTTTATCTCAAACTAGCCACAAGCAATATCTCTAAAATATATTTTTAATTCCATATGCTGCACTCATTTTACAGATTTCCTGGAAGTCTGTAGGGAAAGAATTATAAGACCACAAAATGATTTGGGTTGGAAGGGACCTTTAAATGTCATGTAGTCCAATCCCCCTGCAATGAGCAGGGGCATTTTCAGTCAGATCAGGTCAGTCAAAGCTCCATCCAATTTGACTTTGAATGTTTCCAGGGATGGGTTATCTACCATCTCTCTGGACAACCTGTGTAGGTGTAGGCAAGAGCCAATTTTTCCCATGTGGTGTGAAGGATTAAGAAATTGCTTAAACTTGAAAAAACCAAACAAAACAAAACAGCCTAGTACTAAGGTCCCTTTTTATACAGAATCTTTGGTTTCTTGCAGGTTTCTCACATTCTCAGTTGAATGGCTCCAACCCAAGCTTCATGTGGGAGCTCTATGCATCCACCCTTTGATATCAACTCTCCTTTAAGCTACCCAAAAGCATCAATACCAATATATTTCTGCTTGTTTAGATACTTGGCCTCCCTCTCCTACACCTCCATTGGGACATCCCCTCCTCCCAAAAGAGTGGGAGGGAAAGCAGAATGGTCACTGAGTGAACCACTTTAGATTAAACAGATCCAGGAGGAGTCCTTGGAAAGGCAGGGAAGGATTAAGCAAGGCTGGTGTTTAAAGCACCCCCTGCACTCCAAGGGAGGCTGGGAGCTGCTGAGGCTCAGGCTCTTCCTGGAGGTCAGACCCCCAAAATTAGCCCAGTGGGTGGTGCAGGTAGAGGGGCTTTAATTGCCCAATCACCACTGGTCTCCATGGTTGAAAAAGGTGCCTCATCAGAGCTGTGGTTCCTCTCCAAAGCAGCTTGACTTGGGGATGGGGGAGGTAAACCTTTCTTCTGGCTGTAATGTGCTTCCAAAGAGGCTGCAAATATGTTTGGGTTTTTGTCTTCCCTGTGAGCAAGTTACTTTGGGAGTAGTGATAGATGTTTCTACCAATTTGTGACTACCCAGGGCTTCTGTCTGCCAATCCCATAGCAAGGGAGCAAGTGGGATTTGGGTTTCCCACTGGAGGTCCTGTGAGGGCAGGGGTCTCCTGGAGCTCTGTGGTGGGCTGGGGAGGGGGAGTGCTGGACAGTGTATCCAAACTTCAAAACGGAGAACTCCAGGCCCTGGCTGAAATTCTGGAGATGCAGTTGCACATTTGAGCACAGAAATGTTTATGCAACAGGGGAAATTCTGATAGGACTGCAGAAATATTTAATGATCTTTGCTTATCATCCTTTTCCAGCAGAAAGGAGAGGGAGCAGTGTTGTTTCACAGATAAAAAGCAAGTTCTTGCTTTTTGTTAATATTGCTGTCACTCAGCAAATACTCCACCAGAGCTGGCTGCAGAAGGCTGCAAAAAGAGGCTTTTTCTTCCAGCCTGGTAATGGTGTATTGTGGGAGAAGTGATGCCTCCAGGGGCCAGGCAAGGAATATTGGCTGCAGCAAAGAGGCTGCAACACACAGGCATGAAGGACGTGGTGTTAATGGTTTGCCAGGGACCTGGATGCTCTATGTGTGCTGGAGCAGTATTCTGTATCAGAGTTTAATGTTTGAGTGCTTTTTTTTCCTTAATTAAGGGTATTTTGTCACTTATGGCAATTTATTGATCCCTTAGCCATTGCTGCCCAGTAGGGTAAGAATATAAGCAAGCTTTATAGCTGAAATGATAAATGTATGACCAGATCTAGGCTGTGTCAGCAGTCTGCACAGAAGCAGCTCTGACTCAGATACTGATTAGTACCAAGAGGTTCATGTTCATCACTTTAATACTTTAAGTATTGTGATTTGCAAGCTTGTAACAGCCATTTGCAGCACACAGGGATGTGCAATGCTGCTTACTCAGCAAAGGATTTTTTCCAGAATTTTTGGTCATGTTAGATCTGGGGTTCCCTCCTATGTAAGCAATACTGACAACTTCAAACTTGCTTCCCAGCTTGCCGTGGTTTTTCACCAGAATTATGTTGTGGGAAGGAAAAAACTGGTATTGTGCAGCATACTAAGTATTTTGATATTTGGGAAAGGGGGAAGACATGAGATGAGTCCACAGGGAAGGACACGTGGTGGATACTGTCCTGAACCTGCTGTCCACGGGTCATCACTAACCCTGAGCTCTCTCTCCCCACAGGGCCCCCGGGGAGGCGAGGGAAGCCCGGCCGGCGAGGAGAGCCAGGTAAGCAGCACCTGCCCAAGGCACTGAGGAACCTGGGGGGGTCTCTGGATGGTGTGGGAGCCTCTGGGCAATGACACCTGTCACCTCCACCTAACAGGCTGTGGAACAGGGGCTTCCCTCACCCCTGTGTGCTGGGCATGAAGGGTTTTATTAAAAACTAAAAAACAAAAACAAAAACAAAACCAACTCCCCAAACTCTAAAAAACAAAAACAAATTTTAAAAAATTAAAGGAAAAAAACCAAACCATAAAAAAACCCAAAACCAAAAACAAGTAAATTCCACTCAAAACACCCACAGCTGTTGCATCTTTTATTCACCTTTCCATTTCTCTTTGCAGCATTCAGCCTCATCACTGCCCCACCCAACATGAAAGAGGGACAAGTGAATGAAACAGGGAACCCCCCAGTCATGTTAGATGGGAGGTGTGCACTGGATTGTTCTCTGCATGTGGAACATATCCATAGGTTGCCTGCCAGCCATAGGGTGGTGGTGTCTGCATTTGGGAGTCAGGGATAACCAAACCTTGGCCACCAGCCATGGGCACATCCCCTGAGCATCAGTGTCCCCTCAGCCTGGCTGAAACCACAGAGCAGCCTCGCTGGGGATTTTCATCTGAGCTGGCTGTAATTCTGTGTCTCTGTCACTTCACTGTATCTGTTGAGGTTTGGGCTTTTGTCCCCGTCTTTGAAATGGGAAAGGACTGACCCTGTTTCAGCTGGGGAGAAGTGCTGTTTACATTCTGCTGTTGGGCCTGAGTGCTGCTGGAAAAGGGAGAGGTGCAGCTGGTGTTGCTCTTTCTGAGGAAAACAGGGATGTGCCCAGAAAGCCAAGTAGTTTTTGGGACTGCCTCAGTGTGCCAGAAAGCAGTACATGAAATTCCATGTCCCAGCTCTTAGGTTCTTGCACACTGATAGAATGAACAGGAGCCAGTGGGTTTTCATTTAGTGAGGAGGCTGAATTCTGTTCTCTGCTGCCTCTGCTGCTATAGAAGATTCACAAGCGGAATTTCAAAAAGGGCAGCAGAATTTTTTGATCACCAATATTTTAAACAATTTTTGTGACTCTGAGGAAAGGAAATTGAGTGGACATGTGCTGCACACCAGCAGCAGCACATGAACTCATGGACTGATGGACAAGAAAGGCAGGCAGGCATTTCCCTGCTCTTCCACTGATGGTATTCCAGAGTGCATTAGGGGTTTTCTGAGATAGTTTTGTTCCTGAAGCATCAGGGATTTACTCCTGGCCAAGGGATAGGTGCTGATGGGGTGGTGGTGGATCCCAGCCAGTTTTGTCAATTTGTTTCTTTTTCCCAGCAGCTGGACTGTAGGAATAGCCACCAAAGAGCTTTGATTCTTTTTTTGGTTGTTTTTTTAAATATCACCTAAGAGCTTTCAGGAGCACAACCAAGGGCAGCTGGAGAGGTCAGCCAATGGATCTGATTTTATATGCAGGAATTTATGTAAATTCTGTGCAAGATGTGTCTTTGGTCCAAACAAAAATCTGGGAGGTAATGCTGAGCTCGCACATGTCCTTAAATCTCTTCTCCCTGCTTCATGTAAGACTTGGGTAAAGCAGCATTTTCCCTCATGCTGTGACACATCTGCAAATGCACTTGAGCATCCCTCTGAGGAAGGAGAAAGCTGCCAGGGAATCAGTGCAGAACCAGCAAGAAAACAAGCATTATAAAAGAAAAAAAAGATTAAAAGAAATTAATCATTGATGATAAAAAAATTCAAACCTTAGTAACAACGTTTTTGAAATTTCTGAAGTTGTAGAGGAAAATAGAGAAGAGTGCATCTGCCACCCACTGCACACAGCCACACACTCAGGCTCGAAGGGGCAGCTCAGTGAAATCCAAGGAATGCAGGGCAGAGCCTGAGGATTGCCCCGCTGCAGATACACACACAGGGAGCAGGCATCCCACTGTGTATTGCTTTTGGCTGAGCTGCCAGATGTTTGTTTCTCCAGATAACTTGAATATATACTTCTATATTAGTTTGAGAACTTGACCACACATAAACCAAGTCCTTGTTCCTTCACTACAGCTGATAAATGTGAATAAAACTTTGTTTGTGTAGCATGCTGGTGTCCATCCCCAGGGACCCTGCCTGGTTAGGGCTTCAAGCCTCCAGACAAAGGCTCTTGGAGAGCCAGAAGGCTCAGCCCTGCCAAGGGGAGTGTTTTTCTCTGGCATTTGTTGAAATGCTCGTGTTGAAAAACCTTTTCAGATTCATATTGAAACTTTCAATGTATATCTCTAAGAAACAAGCAGAGAATCTGTTAAGAGATACTCCTGTCCCTTTTAATCACACCCTCTTGTTGATTTAAACCAAGACTGAATTTTGCTTTTTTCTTCTGCCATGATGGATTCAGATAAAATAAATTAATCCAACAGCTCTGTTTCTCTAAACTAAGAATTCATCATCATGAAAATGCATTGGGACAACTCCTCTCTTCCATAGATATGCACCATACCATAAAAGATTAATTTTTAAACCATTTCTCATGAAAAAAAATTAACTATTTAGACCATTTGGATGTGGGACAAGCCTGCTGCACAAGTTTCAAAAAACACTTGTTAAACCAGTGGGGTGAACCCCCATTGCCCCCTGAACCCCAGGGCAGGCAGTGGGCCCTGCCTCTGAGCTTGGTAGTTTATTTATTTTGCTGTAGAGAAGCATAAAGGCAACAAGTTTTCCCCTGGGGAGCCCTGGAGGGCAGAGGGGGCTGCACTAAACCCCAGCCTCCCTCTGGGCTTCACATCTCTGGTGGCAGCTTGAGCTCCACGTGGTGGCATGGTTGTCCCTGCTGTCATCCCTTCCCTGACCCCAGACACAAGGATCAAGTACCTGGGGGAGTGTTCCTGCCACCACCAGCCCAGCTGAACAAACCAGGGACTAATTGAGTCAAACGGCTCCATCGAACCCATTTTATTTACTCTCTCCATCATCTGGCCCCATGGGAATCACTGCTGCAGCAGAGGAGCAGTCCTAGAGCTGGGCACAACCACTGCAAAGAGGCTACTTTTAAAAACCAATTTATCCCACTGTTGTTACCAAAACAGAAAAATTCCACCAACCAGAAAATTCACCAGCAGCCTCCCAGGAGAAATGTCACATTGGCTGTTTGGTCTGGTCCAGCATGTCCTGAGCTCCACCCCATCCTGCTAGGACAGACACAGGTGTCCCAGCACCCTTATTCCTGCACATGATCATCAGCAGTTTCTTTTCCAGCTGGAAAGCAAGCATAGCCTTGAAGAATCGTGTGCACCCACCCATGGAAGCAGTGTATAAAAAGCAAAACACATTTTAGTGCAATTTTATGTGGGATTTTCAGCCTTCTCTCACTGTGGGGTGGAAGAAAGGCTTTGCAGCACTTGCTGTGGTGGTTGGTCCTGACAGCCAGCCTGCTCATCTCAGATGCAGTTCCTTTTCCTTGCCAAAGGCAAAATCAGGTTTAATGTCATGTTAGCTTATTTTTTCAATGTGATATGTCCCAGTGAGGACACAGTTCAACTGCTGGAGTGAGCGTTTGTGAAATAACACGGATTTTTTGCCAGGGGCCTGGGAGGTTTTGCTTCCCTCCTTACTGCCAGCTGGTGCTGTGTGAGTGGGATGGAGTATGGATGCACAGCCCTCACGGGGCTTTGTGTTTATTTTTTTTTAAGACTGAGCCATGCTGGGGTGTTCCTGAAGGATGGATGAATAGGATCCAGGATTTGGGAGCTTAGTTTGAGTATTGGTTCAAAGGCTTTGCACAACTAGATGGTGGGAGATGATGTTCCTGTCTCTTGGAATATCATTCTGCTTTCTTCCCCTGGCTTGACAATTGATCCAAAAATGGATCTAAAGCTCAAAATCTCTCAAGATAAACCAGGAGACAATCCACATGAAACATACAGCTTGGGAAGTCTCTGAGTAAGGCTCTGCTCTCCTCACATGAAGCAGGAGCTGCCTCAGGACACAAACACCCAAAGCTGATGGCTGGGGTGTTGTGTAGCACCTGTGCACAGCTACAGCCCAGGGGGATAAACACTGGCTGCTTTAGGCACAAAATTGCCTTTACAGGTTGGCCTGAGAGGGCATTTTTTGACTAAGTGTTATTTCATTGGAAAATCCTGACTTGGTATAATTTCTGGTTTTGGCAGAAAAAGTTTTGTTTACAAAATATTTTCACTTCAAAAGCAGTTTTTGGGGAAATGTGTTGAAATTGTTGCTATGGGATAGAAGTCTTTTGTCCACCAGCCATGATTTGTTTTTTTTCTTCACATTACACTGCAGGTGTTGCCTGAATTTGAACTTCTAACAAAGATTTAATTCAAAGGGTTTTTTTGTTTGTTTGGGTGGGCTTTTTTCTTACAGCTATTCTGTTTGTGCAAATATCCTGATCTGGAACAAGAAAGAATCTAAAGCTTTTTTAAAAGGAAAAAACCTATGAGATTTCTGTGGAGGAAAGGCTTATTTCTCTCCCAGCCCTATATATACTTAAAATCCCATATTTTACGTATCCAGATTTACATTTTCAAACCCATTAGCCATGTGATTGAATGGACAAGCGTAAGTACATAGTTGTTATTCAACAACTGAGGCTGTATATGGGTGAATCACACAGCAAATTGTATTTATTTGGGGATTTCCATTGCTCCCCCTATTTCTCACGATGAACTGCCTGTGACAAGCTCATACTCAACGATTTCTTTTTCTGCTGAACTTCAGGAAAAATCTAATCTGTCCCACATGTGCTCTCAGTAATGAGCCTCTGCTAGGAGAGCATATTCCCTGTGTGCCCCAGCACCGAGGCAGAGATAGGAGTCAACACACAGTGACAAATAGTTTTTCTCAGATTCTATGACTTCTTATGGCTGTAGCAGTTGTCCTTCTCTGTTGTTACCCATGGCTCAGTTACTCCCCTTACAGCATCCTGAATTAATAGCTCTATGTGTATGTATGTACATAGCATGTGTGTTTAAATACACATAGCCATGTAGTATTATAGATTTTTTTAATTACAACTTTTTACATCTTCAGGTGGCCACAGATGCATGTTTGCTACCTTTGGGATGGGCTATTTGCCCTTTAGAATTGCAGCAAAGTCCCCTCTAACCCTTCCTGAGCTGTTGGAAATGTCAGGCTGGTTTTGTTTCCTCTGCCTCTCCTCTCGTGGCAGGAGAGCTTGCATGATAAATGATTTGCAGATTTAACAGAAATATCATCCCAAAATTTCCAAGCTGAAAAAATACTTGGGAATAAATGACTGTGACCTGTCATTTTCCATATGTTTGTGTACTGCTGGGAATGATGCCGCTGTGACCCTCTCGGGCTTTGGATATACAAAATAACATTAATGTTGGTCAATCAGGAAATCTGGGTCATTAATTTTTAATGAGTTTTGATTTTCACCTCCTGCTAGCACAGCTGTGCATGTTCTTAAGGAATCTTTTTGTGTTTCCAAATATCTCCATGCCCTTGCATGCTTGAGCACAAGGTGTTCACTCGTGGTTATAGCAGCATCCTCCCTGTTCAGGTAAATCAACCATAGACCAAAATCTGTGCATTTGCAGGTTATCTTTTCTTTCTCCTCTTCCTTCTGAAATTAGCCCCCAGGTTAATTTGTCATGTAGTTTTTGATACACAAAGGCTGTTTCCAACTTTTATTTGTTGTAAGAAGAATTTCCTTTCAGCCTCTCAAACGGATTCTTGCCAGTCAAAACTATTAGCAGTAAATTCTGGCAAATTTCTTTGAAAAGAGCATGAATCTTGTGCAATGTGCCCACAATGATGAGATGGCTGGATGAGGGGCAGCCTCTGGGTGCAGGATCATCTTTTTTATTTATTGTTGCATTGCAAAATATTTTACTTTCTTTGATAGGAAACAAGTGTCTTGTGGCTGGGCTGTTGAAAATCACGTTCAGCAAACCAGAAAGTGATGTTGCTCTTAGGAAAAGATCAGTTCAATAGGTTTAAGTTTATGCCTTAATTAAGATTTTTTTTAGCCTTAATTGGCCAATAAAAGTGAAAAGATTGGTGCAACTCCACTGATGGGGCTGGAGAACATCCAAAGTTGCATGTACAGTTCCCCCCATTTGACTGTGATTCCTGGATTTGGGAGGAGGAAGCACTTTGGAAGAGCACTCACCTGCACGAGTTGGGGAGAAAAAAACAGTAGCTGAGAAAAGGAAAGTAGGCAACAAATTCCAAAGAGATTATAATTGGTACGTGATTGAAATCTCATATTAAAATAATTTCCTGCCCACTTCTTTGAGACTTTGTCTTGACTTTTCCACAAAAGGGCTTTTGTGGGTAGGCTGGTGTAAGTGAGTTAATAAATCAGGTTTATGATTCTCAGTTAATAAATTGGCATAGAGCCATTGGCTTCTGTATTCAGAAGAAATTAAATCAAGGAGAGCAAGTTAAGTCCCTGTGCTCCTGGCCTGGAGTGAGATGTGGAGGTTGTCCCTGCCCCAGGCATGGCTGTGGTTGTCTGTGCTGACCCCCTGCAGGTGACAGATCAGCTTGATGCACTGCCAGTCGTTACTTGCTGCCACCCCTCATTCTTAGGCTTGTTTGGGTTTTTTAAATTCAATTGAACAATGTTTTTAGTTTTAAAATTAATTCTAAAATCCTTGAAAAGGCATTGACTTGAAATATGCTTTTTGAATAATATTGTTAAATAACATAAGATGAATAAAGCTTTTTAATTTTTTGCCTCCATTTTAAGCTTTCCCACTTTTTTTCCCTTTTCTAATTGTGCTTAGTTTCTGGTTTTGATCAGGCAAGAATCAGAGCATGAAGAAATCCCAGGCAGTGCTATAGGCTGTCTCATGAACAGGAGTGCAATGTGGATTGCTTTGGATTAGGGCTCAGAGTTCACCTCACTGCAGCACCAGTTTGGGCAAAGTGCAGAAATTGGTGTGGCTGGTGGTGAACACCCTGCACTGCTGGGGGATATTGGCGAATGTTTCTTTTTTACTGCTGTTAAAGCCATCCTCACACTGTGCTGCTGGCCCATGAAGCCCAATGTGGGTGTGATGGGAATTTCCCTGGAGCCAAGGTACTGCAGCAATCTACTGGCTGCTGCTGGACCCGAGCAGGGGGGTGACACAGCACTGTGGGGTTGTGTGACGTGTTTGGAGGTCAGGGAGAGATGGGCACCATCCCACAGCAACATCTGGGGTCTGTGGAAGCAGCAGCACTGTCCCCTCAGGTCCCTGCTACACTGCTCCTCTGGCTTCTGTGATCTTATCTCTTACTCCTCCTGCATTACCTGAAGGATAGATAAGGTCCATGGTGAAAATAGAGATTTTATTCATAAAAATGTGCACATTCTTCTGGCCATGTCTGCCTCCTTTTTGCTGGCCACAGGTGGTGCCCAAGGCTCTGATGCCCTGCACACGGGCCCTGCTTTGTGACGTGCCCAGGGTTCTTGTGGGGGGAGAGGAAACAGAGTCACACAGTGAAAAAGATGGGAAAAGAGGGGGTTTACTCTCCTGTCAGTACTGCTGTGCCAGCAGCAGGGGTGAGGTGGTCCTGTAACAGGAGGATGTGGATTGTGCTGAGTATATCTGGAAAGTCTTCACATGGGAATTGGGCTGAAGAGTCCTAAATCATTCTATTGTTGGTTCCTGCTTTGTGTTGTTTTATCAGATTATATTTTTTCTTTGTAATTGACTCTTTTTTCTTTGTTTTTCTTTTGTTTTCCAGGACCTGCAGTAAGTATCGTGGATTTTACTGTTGGATCAACAAAGTTAAGGCTTCCCCTTCCCCTGCCTTTCAGTGTCCTTGCAAAAGCACAACAATTTTTGGTAGAGGTGTGTCTGGAAACAAAATTGGTACCAGATGCTGCTGTATTTTTTTTTCACGATTATAGACAAATTGTGGGGGGAATTTTAAAATGTTTAACTTGCTACCCCAAGAGACTTCCAGTAATTTTAAACTCAGAAAATACTCAGCAAAAAGGAGTTTTCCCTTTAAAGAGTTCTTTATTCTGCCTGTATTTAACAGAAAGAGTGCTGTACTAATATTTAACATGTTGCTGGGTTTATTGGTTCTAAAGCTCTGTCTTGCTTTTCTTATCTGTTGTGTTTCCAGCATTTAATACGGGTTTGGTCACCTCACAAGGGGGGCTAGAGGGAAAACCATAGCTTGCTTGCTTCTTTCTTTGAAGTCTTGGGTAGAATAATGAGCATTCCTACCAACGCAACCAGAAAATTTATGGGGAAATAGTTGTTTGAAGGGCTAATAGTTGAAAATGTGTCAACTCCTCCTTTCAAATGTTCAGACGTGCCTTTGGCTGTGCCACCACATCCAAATCTGTTGTTCTCCTGCTGGTTTTGGAGTGAAAATTTATGTTTTGCTTGTGCCCTCCAAGTTGCTGAGGGTTCATTTAAAAAATAAATTATAGGTATTAGGTGCTTCTGGTTTTCTACCTTTCCTCCCCCAAAGGACGAGGAGGAGGCGGAGAGGTTTAGGCTGTTTGCAGCCACATTTCCTTGTCTGTCATTGCACTAACAGAGGCATTTCTTCATGTTATTCTCTTTCTACAGAGCCTCACTGGGTTAAAAATGGCTTATTTTAGGGAAAATAAATTTGGCAACTATTCCTGGGCTAATAAATTTCCAGTTCTGTTTTGGTGACAAGGAGTGGTCCCAGCACCACAGCTTTTGTTCTCCTGGGATTGGCAGCACTGTCTGTGGGTTTAGTTAAGGGTTTTCACCCCTTTGAATTTTTGCTTCTATTTCAAGCTCATTTTTTCACATAAATACTTAAGAGGGGGGTCAAGCAAAACGATTATTTGGGATTACAAATAAAGAGCATACTGGGATACTGCCTATTTAAAGCTCCTTATATACACCTTTAAGGGACATTCCCCCTTGACTGACTGAAGTACCTTGGCTAGTTTGAAATGGGTTTGTGTAGCTGTTTGGTGGTGCTCAGAGGCTCTTATCAGCCCACACGCAGCCGGGTGTGTTGCTGCCTCACGTGTGCTGTCTGGTCACGTTTATTATGGCGATCCAACACAGACAACATATGGTGCACTATTAATTTTTCTTTGTCTCTAGTTGGTTTCATTTCCTGGTTCCCACGGCACTATTGAATTGCAAACGGAGCACAGGGGGGATTTAACACAAACAAGACTTTTTTTCCTTTCCTCTCCCCTTGCCCTTCATTGAAAGACAACTCCTGGTTTAGTTAATTTTTGCGTGGGGTGGGATTTGTTGGTTGGCTGATTGGTTTTGGGTTTTTTTAATCCTGCTTTTTAGCATAAGTAGCCTTTGCCAGAGACTTCTTTAAGCATAATATAAAGTAAGTCCTAGAACCCACAGAACCACAATATTATTTTATTTCAACAGTATTCATTTATTAGTTTCTTCTGTTTCTTTATTTAGGCCAGAAGGAATTGATTACTTCTTACATGTACAGCATTACACTGCTCTAACTGTATCCCCAATTCTGTTGTTCCCTAGTAGCAGTTGTTCTGCTATTTTATTCTTTTGGCTGTCATAAGTTAGTTATGCATATAAAATTATTAGAATTTGTGGTACAGGATTTGTGGCTGATGGATGATTGATTGTCCTGTCGTAAGTAAGGGGTACTCTGCTCAGATATGCTATAAAACCTCTGTTTTGGAGACTATTAAAATCACATGCCGGGTAGGAAATTTCTACAATTGAAATATAGACTTACCACAGACCGTAATTAAACATTTACAGTCACAGATATTAGCAAACACTTTATGTGTTAGTGTGCTGGCTGGGGAACTCACCAGCAAGCGAGGGCAGGGCGTTCCAAGTGTTTCCTATTTATCTGTGTGTGCTCCACTGCCATACATCTCCATAAAAACCTCCCTGTACCCTTTATCCCAAGACTGTAATTGGTTACACAGGCGGTTGCTGAAGTCAGTGCTGTTTCTGGATGGATCAGGAGTGCTGCAGGAGCCATTCCAGCTGCAGGGCTGCTTAGGAGAAGGGAGAGCAGAGCCCCTGTGGTTGGTGTGAAGGGGCTGCCGGGGCTGTTCCATGCCATGAGAAAAGCCTGACTGACTGCACCCGCAGCACGCTGACACAGCCCGTGTTTATGGCAGCAGATGACATTGCTGCACACATACTCACTCACCTCGCTGCTTCTTTGTGTACCAGCCAATACTCAACAGCTCCCGGGACTCTGCCGTGGGTCTGGCTTGCAGCAGGCTCTGCTGTAGCTCACGGCATGGTTAACAGCCCCTCGGGCTGTAAACGCCTCTGGGAACTCCCCAGGAGAGCACGGAAGGTGAAATAGCCTGAATGGGCTGTGTTTTATTCTGCTGGTCCTGCAGCTGCTACTAGGAACTTCAGTAGGGCTGTTCCCCCCCAGCATCAGCTGTGCTTTCTGCTTCATTGCAAATAAAGCAAAGCTTAGATGTGAGCTGGAAGAACTGCATCCTGCAAGGAAGTTAATGGATCTTAGAGGGGTAAACCTTCACTGAGTCAAGTGCTGTAACAGGAGTTTGAAGCTCAGTGATTGCTGTCCTGGCTGCTGGCTCAGCAGCTGCAGCCTCCACAACCTCTCCCCAGCACTGAGGTGTTTTCTTTCCTCTTGGTACCCCCACCCAGGGCAGATTTATGGCCAGGACCCAGAGTGTGCCATGCATGTCTGTGGTTTCAGGGGCAGCAGGGGCTGAGCACAGGCAGCAGGGATGGGTGCAAGTTGGTAAAACCCGTGGTAAGTAGCCAAAGGGGAGCAGGAGATCAAAATCCAGGGACAATACACTGTAGGTGCGACCTCTCTGATAGGAAAGTTGCCCCAAGAGGTTTCTCCAGAGTTTAGTGCCAGGGCTGTCTGGAGAGCCAATGGCCCCGTGTCCTGCCTGCTGCTATGTGATGTCAAGCTACTGCAGGTGCATTGACTGACTTGTCTCCCTTGTTCCCCCCCACAGGGGCAGTCAGGACGTGATGGTTACCCGGTAACTCCACTACTCCTTCGATTTTTATTCTTTTCTAATCTGCACCCTGTGGTCCTCTCCAGCTTTTTTCCATGACGTTTGATTCTCCTTGCCTGTTTTAAGCTGCTTTTTTTTTCACTTATTCCCTCCTCTCTTTCTTCATTAGCAATAGCTTTTGAGGAATTCAGCCCTAAAATTTAAAAACCTGAGCAATAATCTCCCTTAATGTTTATAGGGATTAAATACTTGAGCCCTTCAGTGGTTGTATTCATGCTCTTGCTTAAGAGTTCACTGGACTGCAAAGTGAGTGAAGGCTTTGGAGTTTGTCCCACTTAGAACTGTCAGAGGTGATACTGGGGAAGGAGCCCCAGATGTTGAGATAGATCCTCATTTTCCCATGTCCAAAATTTTTCCGTGGTGTAGAACTGTCCTGCTGGATGTGCAGAGGAAGGGAGTCCTTGTTCTGGCAGATCCCAAACTCAGCCTCCTGGCTGGCTCCCCTCAATGCCCTTGGATGGCCACAGTGCTCCAGCTCCAGGGGGCTCAGTGGCTCATCAGGGAGCCACTCCCAAGCACGACTTGGTGTAAGTGGTTGGTAAAAAACAATGCAAATTCTCCATGTTCAAGGCATGGAGAGAGAGTTTCCATCCCTGCTCCTGCTTTTTGACTTGATGTGGTGAATTCTACACTGCCTGTTGCTCTGGAAAGAGTGTATTGGCTATTCTTAGCCTTCTCCTTCCTGTGGTTGATGCCCCTTTTTCTTTTTTTTTTCCCTTCTTTTATTTTTTTTTCTTCTGTTGTTTTTTGGTTTTTTAGTTTGTTTTTTTTTCCCCTGAATGAGTGTGTTAAGGAAAACTCCCTGCTTGTCTCCACCACCACGTGCCCTGGCCTGGTTCCCCTTGAGTGCCCAGAAACCATAGAAACATTTATTGAGTTTTATGTGTGTCAGGGAGCTCAAGAGAAAAGGATTGGAAAGGAAATCCAGGGGAATTTGCAGTTCAGGGGAAATGCTGCTACATTTCCCCAGAAATTGAGAGGTGGGAGATGGGGTTAATTTCACAGAACCAGCCTGTGTTGCCCTTGCATCCCTGACATGAAAGTACTTGGGACTCCCCAAATGATGAGGATAGATGAAGTTTGTTGCGAGGGGAGGCTGTGGGTGAGCAGGGCTCTGTGTCCGGGGAAGGGGTTTGTCTCCCTCAGGTGGCACCTGCCCGCAGCAGCCCCAGAGATGCTGGAGCCAGGAGGTTGTACAGATGCCTCAGGGGTCTGTTGGAAATTAAGAGTTTAATTTATAAGAAGTTAAGATGTGAAATTTCACTCTAATGGGCTGTTTATTGTCATTTTTAGGGTGGCTTTTTGCCCTTGTGGGGTGTGGCAAACACTGCTGGATTAGCAGTGCCCTTGGCAGGTTTGTCCCTTCTGCTGTCTCAGTCATGTGGTTCAGTTGCAGAAATCCGAAAACCAGAAACTCTGGGAGGAAACAGGGACTGTTCCCTAGGAGAGAGCATCACCACTGTCCCCATGGGCAGCCTGGCAGCTTGCCTGTCCCAGCTCCTGGAGAGGGATTTTGGTGATGCTCCAGCACTTCTGGACGGTGTCAGGGACAGGGAATGACCTCAACTCTGCTGCCACATCTGCCCTGGGAAAATGGCATTAACATCACCATAAGGGTTCTCCTCTTCTCTTACTCCCAGGACCTGCAGTGCAGGTGAGCTGTGGGCTGGTCTTATCCTAACTTTGAAACCAGCCACATGGCTGTGGCTGTGCTAATTAACTTTATTAGATAAAGAGGTGAGGATAATTTTATTTCCAAAGCACGATGCATCCCTGAAGAAGGAGGAAACTGAACATAAAGCTGGCTTGGGAGTATTATTCAGCAGAAAGATATTGATAGGTTTTATTAAATCCAGTTGCATATTCAAATGAATTTACTTATTTAGTTCCCTTCAGGGTGATCAAATAAACTGAGCTGTTTTAGTGGGTGGATGTGGTGAAAATGCAGAGGTAGAAGGTGGATATTAAGTGGTGTGTGGTGACACATGCATCCCTCAGCCAGCAGTGCTTTGAGCTGCTAGTTTATAACTGAGCTGCAAGCAAAGGAAGCTGTAAGGGGATGAAGTGATCCAGAGCTCTGGAAATGGGGCTGACAGAGAAAACAGCTTCCATGAGATGATTTCAATATTTTTATACTTAACATCTGAGGAGGAGAGGTTTGGGCCTTACAATAAAACTTTACAGCAGGAACAGGTTTTTTTTTTTTCTTTATGAAGTTCTGTAAGTTTATTATTATTTTTGAAAGCCCCTAGTGGATTTAGTTTCCATTTTTAACCCTATGGCATATCCTACTAACATTGTCATAACAGCTATGAAGGATTTTGAGATTTGTTGCTCTTCTGCTCTTGTTTGATTTGGTTTTGACATCCCACTAATTATGGATCACAGCACATACCTCAGCCTGAATTTCAGTGTAAGGGCTATATGGGTCTGTCTTCTCTTTCCCCAGTAACATTTGAACTTGGCCCATTTCAGCCAGATTTGACAGGACAAAGACTTTCTAGAGAGTAGTTTAACTTTTGATACTGGGGGCAGATTAAGGGAAAAAGCTTTTCTGATGCCAACGGTGAGACAGGAGCCATGCTGCCATACAGCTGCCTTGTGCTCAGGTTTGCACGAGGGCAGCAGAACAAAAGCAGATGTGCAGCCACCATGATGATGGAAATGTGTTTCTTGTTGGGCAGGACCAGGCCCTGGGACCCCTGGGACAGGATCCCCTGGGACATGTCCCGAGCTGTGCTTCCTGAGGCAAGGACCATCCCTGCTGTGGAGTGGTTCCTCTCCACGTGATGTGCTGACAGCGTGTTGGGGTCATTTGTCCTGGTGAAGCTGGGAGGGGGCTGGTGCAGTGGGGCTGTGGCTGCTGCATCTGGGCAGGAGGAAAAGGAGAAAATGAGCAGATGGGAAAGCTGAACTGAGAGTAGGCTTTGAGCTGACCTCTCAGAGAGGAGGAGCTCTGCATTGCACAGCTGTTTAATTGGATATTAGGAAACATTTCTTCACCAAAAGAGTTGTGAAGCATTGGTCCAGACTGTCCAGGGAAGTGGTGGAGTTACTGTCTCTGGAGGGATTTAAAAGATGTGGCTCTTGATTTAGTGGTGGGCTTGGCAGTGCTGGGTTAATGACTGGACTTGATGATCTTAGAGGTAATTTCCAACCTGAATGATTCTCTGGTTTTAAGCAATGGCTGTGCAGTGCTCTTAGCAGTCTTGCCCCCATCTCTTTCTCTGCCTCATGCAGGGATGATTCTATACTTGCCTTCAAACTACTGAGTTGTTCTCCTATATGATATTTCTCTTCTTTCCCAGTGAGATGCTGTCTTTGTGATTCACCAGAACCCATTCCCTTCTCTTCTCCATTTACTGGAGAGGCCTTTTGAAGCCAAACTCTCTGTTTCTTAAGAGTTTCATCTGCCTCTACTATTCATCCCTAAAATCAGTCTCAGCTACATCACTACGTGACATCCCAAATGCAGGGTTGTCACTTCAAGTGGGAAGAAACCAAAAGAATGAAGTTGATTAATGAGGGGAATTACTTCATGTGCATGTCTTCATTAATAGAAAGCAGAGTAGGGAAGAGGCTTTGCAGAAGAAAAGTATGATATGAAACAGGGTTGTCTCTTGTTTTATACATTTCCCTTAGAATACTAGGATTTATTTTTAGTTGAGCTGTGTGTTATTCATTTTGTCCCTCCTGTGTATAATGTTTGCCTCCTGAATTTTGTTAATCACTTGTGTGCTGCCTGGAAGACAGCAGGCATCATCCTGCCCATCTCTTTGCAGCAGTGGGAAACTTTTGAGAAGGCAGGGAGAAAAGGCATCATTCTCTGCCTGCTTAGAAGTAATGAAGCTTGTTACTGAAAATAATTCAGCATTGAGTATTCAGCTCGGTCTTCAGCACAGGAAAGATACTGATCTGTTGGAATGAATCTAGAGGAGGCCACCTGGATAAACAGAGGAATGGAGAACCTCTGCTATGAAGAAAGGCTGAGAGAATTGGGATTTTCCAGCTTGGAAAAGAGAAGGCTTTGGGACATGCTAATTGCAGCCATGCAGTACCTGAAGGAGCTACAAGAGAGCAGGAGAGGGAACTATTTACAAGGACCTGGAGTGACAGGAAGAGGGAATGGCTTCACACTGACATAGGGTGGGGTTAGATGGGATATTGGGAAGAAATATTGGGTGAGACCTTGGCATAGGTTGCCCAGAGAAGCTGTGGGTGCCCCTTCCCTGGAGGTGTTCAGGGGCAGGTTGGATGGAGCTTGGAGCAACCTGGGATAGTGGAAGGTGTCCCTGCTCATGGCAGAGGAGCTGGGCCTAGACAGTCTTTAAGGTTCCTTCAGACCAAACCATTCCATCATTCTGTGACTAATAGTGTCCTTTTCTAATGACAGGTAACTGCACCAATATAATCCATTAATGGTCTTAGGGTAAAAAAGAATCAAGACACAGACATCGCTGGCTCAATGCTGGCTTTTCATTTTGGGAAATAATTGCTCTGTTGGAATTGAGATACTCTTGTACAGGCCATTCTCACATATTTGTAGTCCAACTCACACTAAGGAACTATTGGAGCTAAGCAGGTCAGCATCTTCAGAAACTTTTATTTTGGGAGCCTTGGACAGTGAGCTAATATCTTCCTTTGGCTGCAGTATTGTAAATCCAGATCTATCCACTGAAGTCAGCTGTAATGTATAAGCCAGAAATCAACTGGTAAGGATGGCAAAACTCTGGTTTTAATTAATTTTCAAGACATAAAGTGAAGCCAAATGTGTTTTTCTAGGCTGATGTCTGTGAGTGGGGTTGAAGAAGCACGTGTAGAAGGGGAGATGGTTCCCTGACATAAAAACCCAGCACAGTGAAGCACTGGAACAGTGACTTTGGTTACAGCTCTGGACCTTGACCATAAACAGTGGAGTCTGGGGTTTTCTCCCCTCAGCAATTAAGCATTTCAGTTAGTAGGCA